ACGTGTTTGTCAATAAACTGTAACGATAAATGACATGCGAAAAGATCTCCTTTCCAAACACAAGCAGCTCTGTGCCAACCGCCAACGACTCCTTGTCAGCCAACACGAAACACTCATCAGGAGTCATAGCTGGCAGATGCATCCAACGACCGCGACTAGGATCAAAAGCTTCCCATTCAACCAATTGGCAGGAGAAATAAACCCAATGCTCAACCACACCATTTTCCCGCCGCAATTTGTAAAGTTCTCCGCTCCTAATCAATGAGCGAAAGCTACGATTCAAAGATGCTATGGCGCCATAATCCGACCGAGAACAATGAATGAGACAACCGATGGAATTGTCACGGCCAATGGCATGAATAAGAGAGCTCGAATCGGAATTATCCCCAGCATGACGTTTATTGCCAGCTTGCTCGTTCGGGGATGCTGAAGAGTTGCCCAAAGATAGAGCGACTTCCACTCTGTTGAAAGCATCAGACTTATTTTGCAACTTGCATTTCACAAGTTCACGCTCCTGATAATTTGCCAATGGCTCTTTGCCATTCATGCAAGCCACCCAGTTACTTTCTCTCTGACAATCCTTTGAAACCAAACAAGACTGATCTTCTAACATGTCGTCCAGATTAAAACCAAGAGGATTTGATAAAATGAAGGAAGAAGTTGATTGCAATGAACTGAAAAAGACAACCTTTTTTTGTATCTGGTGAATTCTACCTCTGTTGTTTTCTTGATTTTCCTATTAATATAGTTTTTTTTTCTTTTTGTTTTTCGGTATGTATTAGTATATAAGGGTATTTATTTAATTTCTGTACTATTTGGTAGAAGAAGAATCGGGGCCTTCGGATTCTCTCTTCTGAAATTAAAGTAAGATTTGGCTTCATAAGGAAGAAAAATTAATTAAATGCCTAAGGAGGAAGTGCAAAAAGAGTAAGTAATGTAATCTAGGTAATCTGACGGTCTCGGTACACACTATGCACTCTCTCTTTCTCTTTTTTTTTCGTGGAGCAAATTCTTCTCTCGTTATTCTCTCAAGTGCCACCAGGAAGATTATAAATATTTTCTTGAAGGAATAAGCTCTTCCTACACAAATTGTTTCTTAAATTGGGTAAGAACTTCTCTATCGTTTTCTTAAGGGGTGGAGTGGCGGGGGATTGTGCATGATACTCAAGTTACATTTCATGAATCTAAATCTGTTAAATTTTTACACTAATAAGTGGGCTTACATTTTTTTTCTCCATTGGCAGTCAACACAGAGGTCAAGCGTCTTCCAACACGCCTAACATTAGTTAGCACCTCTACATCGTTTCTACCAGTGTTGTTTATATTTTTCTAGTAAAATTAGTTGATTAGAATTTGAAAGTTCTTTGGTTCCCATAGATAGATTGACATGCATTCTCTTTCTATCATTTTAGGAATTGAATTCACAGAACGATGATATGAGAGGGAATTTTTTATTCATCTTTCTCGTAAATTATGTAAGTATTTACTTATATGCTACTTGTAGAATTATAAAGCATGAGAGCAAACCGTAATTGATGGAAGAGTAAATTCCAGAGATGCCTACCAAAATTTTGAGACCACCCGCTATGCGACTGATAAGAGCATAGATGATGAGAGGATTTAGTAAATAGCACCGATATTAAACATTTTCTCTAGATAAGTAGAGCCTGTAATTTCTAGGTTTAAGCTTTCATGAAAAATACTTTTTAAGGGAAAACAGCTACTGTTGTAGGACTTGCAGGACACCTCCCCCCACCCCCCACCCCCCAAACCAAACCTTCCATCTAAGGGTTAACTACATAATAGCAAAACCAAAAACAACTAGCGGCAATTATTGCCTATAAAAATAATTTTAGCTAACATGGAAGCCACATATGAACAGTCGCTTCCATTGCAGTTTTGACTGTTCTAAGGGATCAGATAAAGCAGGCAAGATAAGGATGTGTTTTTGGAGTAAAATTTGACCTTTAGTACAAGTGCATAAATACCTAGAATTCTACCAATACGGAGTGGTTTTTAATTGAAAGCTGAAGCATGCACTACTGAACTTACTCAAAATGTCATGTTTGCGTGCATGAAAATCTTCACTAAATGTATAATTATGATGTTTGCTTCTTTACGGAAAAATCGAAATATAAACTTATAGATTCTTATAAAAATTAGCATTCTTTTAATTGCTTATGTTCTTGGACACACTTATAAACAAACAATACGAAAAATAGTCTAGCAGGCAAAAGTAAATATTTACTATTAAATAACAAATATCTGCAATGGCAGCCAATTACATTATTGAAGAAATGTTTGCTTTCAATTATGAGATTATGGTTAGTGGGAAATATGCTAGAATGTTTAATGATATAACTTTTGCAGCAAATTACAGTCTATCTAAGTGATTTTCACCTAAAACTTACATGCATTTTAAGCAGGGACTTACGTGTATTTAATGCAAAATGTATGTATAAATTTTAACTTTGAAACAGTGTACAGTATTAGGTTATCAAATCATCGCTACCTCCAGACATAATATCTTTTATATCGACTTGATGTTTTCTACCTCAACGTAGTTAGTCAGATACTCTAAATTTTCAGTTTTTTACTGCATCAGTCCATACAGTCAATGCATCAATGCTAGATGATAAAGGCTACAGCATCTGGAAGTCTATAGAAAGTAAATATCTTTCTCAACAGATAAACATTACGATATTTGTATTTCTTGCGCTTAAAAGTTCAGTATGATTAGATATTAGATATATTTGTGGTCTCTTTTCTGGATCAATTCAGAAGTTTGATACAATTCTTATTGTGCAGGCAAAACAAAGAGATAGAACGTTGTCAGTGGATTCAGTAAAAAGTGACCAATGATCTGAAGTAAAAGATTCTGGAAAACCAGCCAACACAGAATTTTCAATGGATAGCAACCTAGACGAAATTAATAAATGTTTGCGTTGTACTCTATGTAGTAAACTTGTAACAAAGCCACCATTATTAACTTTTGCCTTCAGACATGTCTACATGAGTTTTCGTGAGCCATTTTTGCATTTGCATGCGTACACAAGATATACAAATTCCTCAATCCTCACTCTTTATACAATAAGCATAATAGGTAGCATTGGTAAATAGAAATAAGGTCAGTACAAAAAGCTCTCTATCTCGTTAATTTAATTACCACAGAAGCACTTTGACCAATCATACACATAAATACAGGCATGTTTTGCATCATATATCAATTCGCAAAAACAAACTTAAGCTAGACAAGAGTCAAAGAATTGTTACACATTGGCCAACTAAAAGTTCCGGCATCTTCACTAATTGAAGAAGTGACAGAATAATAGATTTCCAAGATTTAAAGCTCTTTAAGTGTGACTAAAAGGATAAACATTTATAGTAGTACAAATGCAACAAAATTATACCTTCAGCTAGCAATGTTGATTGTGAAGGATTAGGGTCCCTGTGTCTCCTCCGTCTTCTAAAGGTCCAACTAAACATTGTTTCTTTCACAGTGCTTAGCATTACTCACTCTGTGCTTGGCATTACTCACTCTGGTCCAGACCATCACAGGATTTCCCACCACAACTAAGACGCTATTCGACAATGTAAATGGAGGTGATTCACATCTTTCCCTGAGTCTTTACACATGAAGCGCCAACGAACAAATAAACTTCTTCTTCCCTAAGTTCTCCACCGTCAAGATTACCCCACACACAGCTAGCCAAGTGAAAACATACACATTTCTCGACTCCTTCATAGTAATAAACTTCTCATAATAGGACTTACATAAAAGGCACTGTTTTCCCCGGCCCCATCTCCATACATCTTGACTATAATGTGCTTCGACCTTCCAGTCTTGCGCCAGTTGTTTCAAAACTTCAAATCCCAATGTGCTTCTCCCCTTGTAGACTCCATATCCTATGGATCAGGTTGCAGACATAAATAAATAACAATGTTCTATCTCTAATAACTTGAGCTTTCAGATAAGGTAGTTCACACAATTCAACATGTTCTATCTTTTCGGATGGCACCAACTTAGGCAGAGGACTCAAGTTTGAGTTTAACCGCCGCCCATTAACAAAAGTATTTCTACATGTTTGGGCCAAGTGAAAAATGCACATCCTAATTGATGGAAGAGTAAATACCAGGGATTCCTACCAAAAGTTTAGGATCACCACTTATGTGCTAATTATGTGCAAATTATGTGCATACAGGCAGAGAAAGCTTGAGTCTAGAACTGACATATAACCAAGTGAAACATCCAAGGAGGAAAAAATAATTAAATGCCTACGGAGAAAGTGCCAAAAGAGTAAGTAATGTAATCTAGGGCCAAGTAATCTAGCTCATCTGACTCTGTGTCAGTTGACACTATGTACTCTCTCTCTTCTTTTTCCTAGAGCAGTTTCTTCTTTCATTATTCCTACCTCTATTACTCCAATGGCACTCAACAAAATTATGTGCATCAATGTTAAGGTTGGTGTCTAAAACTGATCAGGAGGAAAAAAAGGATTAAATGCACCAAGGAAGTTCCAAAAGACCAAGCTATGTACTCTCTTTCTTTTCTTTCTCCTAAAGAATTTTTTCTCATTCTCTCAAGTGCTACAAGGATATTATCAATCATTTCTTAAAGGAAGAAGCTCTTCATATTATCAATCATGTCTTAAAGGAAGAAGCACCCCTTATCTGCAAATTATGTGCATAAATGTGGAGAAGACTTGTTGTCTAGAACTAACATATGAGCAAGTGAAGCATCTGAGGAGAAAAAAACAATTAAATGCATCAGGGGAAAATGTCAAAAGGGTAAATAAAGCAATTGAAAATCCAAGTAATCTAGGTGATGTGACATTATCAGTTCACACTCTGTGCTCTCTTTCTCTTTTGTTTCTTAGAGCAATTTCTTCTCTCATTATTCGCTCAAAATGCTACAAAAAAGATTATCAATCATTTTTTTGAGAAAGAACTCTTCATATAAAAAAATATTCTTTAGGTTTTTCTTTTTTTTAAGGGGTGGAGTGGTGGAGGATCGTGAAAGAAACTTAAGTTATATATTATCAATCTAGATCTGTTAGATTTTTATACTGCCAAGTGATCTTGCCTTTACTGCTCTAAGGGGTGGAATGTTGGAGGATTATGCATGATACTCATGTTATATATTCTTTTAAACTTTTATACAACCAACTGGTGTTGCCTCTATCGCTCCAACGACATTCAACACAAATGTCAAAGGTGCTCTCATATGTCCAACATTAATTAACACTTCTCCAACCTCGTTACCAGCATTCTTTATCCTTTTACTAGTGAAATATGCTGACTAGAGTTAAAAATTTGTTTGGTTCCCATAGGTCGATTGTGATGACATCATGTTTCTATCATTGAAGGAAATTAAATTCACATATCCATGATATAAGATTGTAAATTTTCAAAATTTTTAGTGGTTAAAATTAAATAAATACTTGATGATACTTGACGAATTATAAACCATGAGAACATAAACCCTAATTGATGGAAGAGTAAATGCCAATAGATGCCACCAAAACATTAGGATCACCTCTTATGTGCAAATTATGTGCATCGATATGGCAAAGACTTGGTGTCTAGATCTTATATATGACCAAGCGAAGCATCTCACGAGGAAAAAAGAATTAGATGCATCAGGGGAAAGCTCCAAGAGAGTAAGTAATGTAACTAATAATCAAGTAATCTAGGTGATCTGACAATGTGTCAGTTCACCTTCACCCTGTTGAATTCGACCATTGTGTCCAATAGATCCTTCCTACGGGGAAAATCATTATACAGATAGTGTTTGGCATAAAACTAACTGCTTAAAAAGCATATAATCCCTAAAACAGGAGAGTAAAGCGTGGAAGTGAATCCATACAATGAAATAACCTCTACCCCTTCGCATACTGCGGTCTGGGGAGAATAGTGTGTGCACAGAACTTAGCCCTACCTTGTAGAGGTAGAAAGGTTGTTTCCAATAGACTGCAGCCTACAAATTCCTAATACCAAAATCATCACTACAATTTCCAAGATATAAACTAGGTTGTAGCAATAGTAGCTGAATTCCCTAAAGACTACGGTTCGGCCTAATTATAGCAAGTACAGGGTACACTTTGAGCACATAGCAGCATTCTTGATAGAACAAAAAGAAACACCAAAACGTGCTGTGGATCACGTTATACATTGCAAAACGAAGATTCTAAATTTTATTCTATCTTCAATACAATATGACCAAAAAGTTCCAAACTTTCTCATCAACAACACAACATTAACTCAGTACACTAAAGTCAAATAATCCTTCTTCTGAAGCACAATAAACACAAAAAACACACACACGAAGAAAATACCATAGTGATACAAAATAAGGAAATTAATACCTGCAATAGATAAGCAAAACAGAGGTCTCCTTGTTTGACGCACCCTATTTTATGACACTAAACTCAACTTCTGCAACTGTTTGCCTTCCTTCCAGTTTGCTTTAAATTTCTTTTTCTACTTTTAGCTCTTTATTGGTTTTAATTTGTCTTCTGAGAACGCCGAATATAAGGAAAGCGAAGAATGGAAGGGCATTAGCGCAAGAAAGCGGTGAAAAAAAGTGCCACTGCTGGTCCTTGTTATAAACATTGCGCTTATAGCAATGTATAAATCGCATTTCCACATTTCAACTTATAATTCGCATATTGTAATTGCGACTTCCGTTCTGCTATTGAACCGTTGGATATTGCGGCTTATAAAGCTTCTTATGATCGCAAGGAGTATTGGGTCAATTGGTTTTTTGGCTCTTTACAAACTTGTTTTTAGTTTTATGACCCTACCTCTTATTTTACACATGGGAGATTTATTTTTACACGTAAGAGATTTGTCTTTTACACATAAAAGATCTAAAAAGGTCATTTTCTTATATTCAAAATTGTCAAAGGGCATGATACACAAATAGCACTATTTTAGATACATCTATAATCCAGTGTATTCATAACAAAAGCTAAAATATTTGGTTTAATTTTGGGGAAAAAAGGTATTTGAAATTGAAATTGAAAAAAAAATAATTGGTTCATATCTCCTTTTAGTCTTATCAAATAATTACAAGGGTAGCAAGTTAGAGTGGCTGTCCAAGTGGCCAACATTGTTTGCATTAGTAATATTACAGGCCAAAGTTTTACCTGTTGAAAGTAGTTCCTAGGATATCTGCCCATAGTGCATCATTGACAAACACCAGAGGTACTGCCAAAATTCTAATTCTGGTGAAGGAGTAGTTCACTTGTTAATAACATAATATTCTGTTCTTGTCTTGTCCTCTTGACCTAATTTGTCGAAGTTACTTTTGCCATCCCAATTGGATTAGTTTTGGTAGATTGTAATTTCACAATTAAAATGATATCGCTATGTAACATTTGATTTGATGCTCCAATTCAATCACATTCCTAAAGATCATAATTCGTAACTACTAGGCCGTGATAACAATTTCTATTGTTGTTGGACACGCCAAGATCTTAGAAATGGGCAAAACCTCATCCCAAGATCCTAGAAGTTTGTTTCCCTCATAGCACGTCATAGACACTAAGGTTTGACTTGATCTACGATATGATCAGCTAACGCAGAAGGTGTGTCATGCAATGTTGGAGGCTAGCGCGCGTCATAACCATCGAGGTTTACTTGATCTACGACACGATCAGCTAAATTAGATGGTGTGTCGTGCACAATGATAGAGCATTGTGCCATGCCTACTTGTTGAATTCATTTGGTTGTGATTTGTGTTGCAATCAGTGTTTTAAAAGGCGTGGGCGTAAGGCGAGGCGTTTTACATATGCCTCAGCGGGGCGTAAGCCCCGAGGCGTGGGGCGTAAGCCCCATAGGTATTTAGTTTTTAATATTTTATAAAATAATATAATGACGGTAAATATTTATAAACAGATAAAATTACATAAATATTGAAGAAAACTATATATATGTGTGCTTCATCCCTACAAAAAACTAATCAAAACAATCTATTATACGTTACTTACAAGCACAAGTAATTTGAGTCAAAGAATAAAGTTTTCTATATGGAGGAACAAAAAGGATGATTAACCTGCAATTTGAACTTTGAATTTGCTGCTATGAAGAAGAATGTAGTTCTCTTTGTATTTGTAAAAAAAAATTAAATATTTGTTGCTTTTGGGAGATATTAGCAGACTAGCGGACAAGAAAAAAAATTGGGAAAACCATGAATTAGGGCTTAAATCAATAAAAAAAGGTCTTTACTTTTAAATTTAATACTTTTGAATTCCTTTTTAAACCTTTTGAGTAATTACCAAACTGACTTTTGAGAATTTGGGTATTATATGAATGACTAATTCAACAAATTTTGTTTTAATTTGAAAAAGCTTCTTGGGCTTACTCCTTACTAAAAAAACGCGCCCCGAACGCCCGGGCCTACTTCCCCGAACGCCCGGGCGTACGCCCCAAATTGCGGGGCGTACGCCTCTTGAGACTTTCGCCCCACACCATCGCCCCGGGACGTTTTTGGTAGCCTCAGAAACGCCTTTTAAAACAGAGGTTGCAATATTGTTGATGAGCTTGTCCCAACCAGATTTTGGCCACTGCACCCATCATTGGAACTAGAAAGCAACTAAAGGCAAAACAAATTGTTAGCTTTCAGCTTTTGTTTCCTAATAAAATGCCCCGGCTAGACCCATTTTTGGAGCCAGATAATTAAGAAAGGAACACAGTAAAAAATTTCATATCCTGCTTGCAATGGCTATGAAATCTTTTTACGCTTTCCATCTAAAATACTACCTATTTACAAGGGTAAAACGCCTGTTTGATTTCAGAAAGAAGCCAAAATTCACTTGTGCTTTAGATTAACTGATTAATTGTTTGTTAAAGGCTTATAAAAGATGTTCCCATTTTCAATTTTATCTTCCCATCAGAATTTAGAAGCAACCATCAAAGGGAAAATAGCTAAATATTTCTTTTCCAAAAGGGATACAAGAAAATGTATGTCAATCCATGCATCCAAAAGTTTTGCCACTTCCTGTATTTGGAGAAAACCATACTATATATGGACATCAACAAGGATTAGGGATCTCACTATGTACATTGAGTACGTAAAACTAATAAATAGGGAAATGCAATGCTATTAAGGTTAAATTGTTTGATTTGGTATATTAACCAAGTGCGACTAAATATTTACTACAAAGTATTTAGCCATAGCAATACTAGTAAAGTTGATTTGTTTTAGCTGGATGCGGCTAAATATTTACCATAATAACACCTGGCATTATATTCCCAAATAACAATAAGAACCTCATGAAGGGGAGGAAAATACCAAAAGAAGGCTATTCAAGTAAATTAAATCCAGATAGTACTTAGCTGTATCATTATTTACATTTTTGGCTTCACTAATGAATACATTCAACTATTACAAATTACAACATGGTGCACACTCAGCACAGTTAATACATATGGACTATGATAGCGAGTTTTATAGATGCAACTAAAATTTTGCTTCAAATTTTAAAAAGATAGTGCACTCTATTATGATTTAATTACTCAGATATGACCAAGTGAACCTCCAAAGAAAGAAAAAGAATTAAATTCATCAGCGAAAAGCGCCAAAAGGGTAAGTAATAAATGGAATAATTTTTTTTTTTTTGATAAGGTAAATTGTATTAATCAAAAGGGAGAGAACTCCCGTATACACGAAGTATACCAAAGACGTAGAGAATTTACATCAGAACATGATTCTCTACAAAAAAACGCCCAATCTTCTATACAAGTAGGGGCTAAATGAGTGCACCAAAAAGCGATCAAAGATAAAAGACTATTCGTAAGATGTGAAAAAGGAGACTCAATCTCCTCAAAAGCTCTCCTATTTCTCTACCCCCATACTAGCCACATGAGAGCTAACGGGGCGAACTTCCACGCCTTCTGCTTTCTTCTTCTACGAAAACCGCCCCAGCTATGTAACATTTCCTTTACAGTGCTTGGCATCACCCATTGAACACCAAAAAGATTCAGGATTTCCCTCCACAAAGCAGAGGACACAGGGCAATGCAACATAAGGTGATCAACTTCCTCCCCTGAGCTTTTGCACATGTAGCACCAACTAACAAGTGTAATTCCCCTCTTTCGGAGATTTTCA